AGTGATAGGCGCTGGATAAATACCCGGTGGGTAGGTATTTCTAAAATGGGTATTCATCCTTAACAAAAAACTTGCCGACATAAAGAGCATTCTTTTGGTTTCATTTTTATCAGAATAGAATGAAAATAAGAATAAGTTTATTGAAACCACCACTAGATTCAAACTGCAAATTTTTTTCCATATTACTAAATCTTTATTAGCAATTATCTCAAAACTTAAATTTGGCGCTTGGTTCCATTTTGATAAGCGCTATCCATATGAAAGTTTGTGTTTAATTGTGTATATTAAATAAGTTTGTGTATATTAATAATTGTGTATATTAATTATTTGATAACTAAGTTGTGTTATGTGAGATTTAAATCACTGACACACTTTTAATACTTTTGGATGGTGATAATAAGTGGTAAGTGTGCATAATAAACGTAATACGTGTAATTTCGAGGTAAAACGGGAATAATATACACTGGTAATTCCAGGCAATTACAAGCGGTCGGTTTAAAATCGAGCGGTGGAGTTGTAACTTTTTAATTTTACGCTGCAAAACAAGCAGCGACCTACCAACCTCCGCAATTTTGTAACCTACTTGACCACCATTTCCTGTAAAAACCATGTTTGCTTATATTATAAAGATTTAAAAATTTTTATGAGTTGGTGTCTAATTAAAACAAATTTTATTATCGGTTACGTTATCGTTGGTTGTTGAATATCGTATTATCCACCCTCTGAAGTTGCAAATTTAAAACGCATTGTGTCTGAGACATAAGTTATTCAAGATTTTTCTTGACCTTTTCGCGCAATCGACTCCACAGGCATCATTCATCTTCTTACATTTGCTTGCTGCTGCACTTGCCGCCTTCGCCTCTCTCTTTCGCGGTTCTGTCAGTTGAGCAGCCGTTTAGTTGCGATTTTGCAACTACCTGAAACCCCGGTTTGCTAATGACATTAGCTCGCCCACGAACTCACTCTCCTTTTTCCTCGAGACGAGACGTCTGAATACGCCAAGACGTAATACGATTCTAATGAGTGCTCTTGTTTAGCCGAGAACGTTTATTGAATGGGAAATGAGCGGCGTCTCTTTAAGGATGGATAGTGGTTGTTAAGAAAGGCAATTGATTCTTTGAATAGTGTTGAATAATATTTATTTTTTATCCTAAAAAAACGTAATGGGAAGTATTGGATTAACGGCTTTATCGGATTAGGCCGGAACAGTGGAGGTGCTTCCCAACTTATTTTTAGTATGCACTTTGGTGGTCGTCTTCTTGCGTAATACTTTTTACGCGGATCGTTAACTTCCATACGGTGCCTGACAAAGTGAACAATAAAATCATAACAGATTATAAATGTGCCGCGGATCGGATGTAGGCCAACGAAAGCGTAACCTTTATCGTGGCGTTTCGAATAACTTCGTGCCCATCTGCATATCTCCTTGAATGGTGCTGCCTTTGCCAGCAGAAGATGCCCTTTTCGTTGAACCAAATATTAGCTTGGGTCGAAGATCTTTTCCTATCGGTAACACGTCCCGTAACGCAATCTACTAATTTTATTACCCACGATTATCTCGTTAATGCTAGCGGCCTTAATGCAATAAATGTTGCAATACCAAAAAAGAGTCGTGAGTGGATCCTTTATAGGTCCCGTATAAGTCCACTCATTAGTACATACGCCACTATTTATTATCTATTGTTCAGTGGCGAGTGCAAATCTATCGACCTCTCACTCCTTTACGTTTCGATTTGTGGATAACCATGTGAACTATAATATTCCAGTGGTACCAAATCGTTTATGATAAACGAGATTTAATAAAAAAACAATTTCTTTATGAATTTCTATTGAAATTGATTGCGGGAAATTGTTGGAAATAAATAAAAAAGTAGTTATTATGAACGATAAATCGGGTAGAAGCGTAAATACGTAGTCGAGGAGAAGGAGTGAGGTTAAAGGCAAAAACGCTTTTCCGCTATTTCTGCACCACGCCAAACGGCGAAACCGTCAACACGACAACGGAAATCAATTAGTGTCAAACAGCGAGCCCAACGAGGATACGTCGAAATATTTTTCCGTAACCGACAATTACAAGCTTCCCCTTTGACCGACCGTGTGCTCAGGCATCTCCTTCGTTCGGCCGTTATCGTTTCTTTTTTTGTTTCATTCGTCGGCGCGTTTTCCCGGCGATAATTGAAAATGTCACCGACCAATTTGTCTTTTAAGTCAGCGAGGCTGTTTGACGTCGGAACCGATGCCGATGACGACGACGTCGACGTCTCTGTCGCGGACGCTCTTTTAATTAAGCAAAAAACCGCGCAAATATTTATGTGGCTTGACCCGTGTATTCCGATTGGAAACATAACGTAAAGAGGGATAATAAAAATCGAGCGATGGGATGCGAAAGAGCCCTACGGTTGTAATTTATCATGTATTCATATGCATTGTATGTCCCCTTTGATACGGAACCGGTTATAATTTTTAAGTCTGCTCCAGTTATAACTATACAAAAATGAAAATCCCATTCTATTGAAAAACCTTTTTTGTTGTAACCAAAATCATTTTCTTTTGTTGCAGCTTTTTAGAGTAATCTGATTTATTTTATATCATATTTATCACTTTTCAAAATACATAATGAAATAATAATATATAACAATTTGCAAAAACTGCAAAATGATTTTAAAAAATTATGATTAAGTTTTAAAAGCGTTTATCACCTTTCCTTCTCGCCTTTTTGATTGGTTGACGCATTTTGTTGGCACTAGATTAAGTTAACATGACACTGATTGAACTCTATAAAGAAAATTGATTTCTCTTTCTTTTTAATCACTGTAATAACTTAAATTTCCTTATTGGCAAAGGATATTCATGAAAAGTCATCTTTGGATGCGAATTTGTTTTGAATATTGGTAACACTGGTCTACAGTGGTTTTGTTGCCCTTGATATAAGATTGATTTTGGATATATTTATACTTACAATTCATGAAACTATCAAAGATTTTATAAGATTAGCTCTCGTTTCTTTTTTAAATCTTTATTTTCATTTTACATTACAAAAATCGGAAAACAAGAAACAAAATAACAGATATATTTATAATGTCAGTTTTGTTTTGAAAAATTAGGATACATCGAAGTAAATAGAGAGTAGAAACAGCTTTTATGAGCTTTTCTTTTATAATTTTTCAGGTGAAAATCTGTTTTAAAGACCAGCAGTAATCTGCCATCATATGACAATCCCATCGACCCTGATATCTTTCCTCCATCACTTTTAGATCCTGGTGGAACCGCTCTCCCTGTTCCTCACTATAATTTCCTAATTAAACTCATATTTGCTCCTAGAGTCTGAAAATTTGTCAGCATATTTTGTATAATTTCTTCATAATTTGATGCTTTATGGTTACCTAGGAAATTTTCGACTACCAACACATAACTTTTCCCAGCTTTACTTTCCGGAACAGTCACAACTTCAATAAAATCTGTGTCTTTCATCAATTGCCGTATTTGAGGACCATCAAATATTCCACCTTTCAACTTTTCCACACTAATAATAAAGAAAAGGCGTCGATGAATGAAATTTATTAATTTCTTACAATGTTTAAATCAGTGCTATACGTATTTCGGGTTATAAGCTCTTCATCAGGCACGACTATAAGAGACAATTATGTTAATTAAGTTATATAAGAAATTAATTAATATTTCCTCTACTCAAAAGTGAGTTAAGACATGACAACTTATCCAGATTCACGTGTAAGTAGTTCAATATTGTTAAATAACTGAGATCTCAGCTGTTCTGCGGAGCAAGGGGTCTGAGAGTGGGGATCACGTGATGTATGTATGCGCGAAAAAGTTGCGCAGAAGCCTAATCATGATTGGGAAAATAAATTTTATTACTAACAAGCTGATAATTGATCAAAACATAAGAGATGTAAAAATTATAAAAAACAAGAGCACATTAATGCTCGTTTGCACCGTAATACATAAGCATTGCTTAAAGGCTAAGTAATGCTTAAGTAGTGAATTTGCGTTGCACCGTCAAGTAACCCGTTCTCAAAATCAATAAGACGTTCTCAAATATAAGTATTTGAAATCCAGTGCTTAAGTTGTTCTCAAGCGCATACGTCAAATAGACATAACCGTACATAACCTATACGTTAAAAAAGTAATAAAATAAAATAATGGATCTGCAAATTTTCGACGACGATTTAGATGTTTTGGAAATAATTGATTTTGGTTTTCCAAAATTAATATACACAAGATCCAATTATTTCCACGAAATGGACGAATATAATTTTTTTAAAAGATTTCGTCTAACAAAACAAAGTTGTTTGTATGTTCTACGACAAATACAAGAAATTATAGAATTTCCGTCTAATAAGTAAGTAGTATACATTATTTTAAATTATACTTTTATAGGCTGAATTTAGATTATTTTAATACTACTTGTTTTGTACAGAAACAACTGTGTGTCTCCAATGAACCAGTTGCTAACAACCCTTAGATTTTACGCTTCTGCTAGCCATTTAACTATTGTAGCTGATTTTACCGGGATGCATACTTCAACAGCTAGTAGAATTATATCGCGGGTATCGCGTGCAATTGCTATGCTGAGACCGCAATACATAAAAATGCCAAGTAATACCGAAGAAATTCTAGCAGTACAAAACCAGTTTTATGGAATAGCTGCATTTCCCAGGATTATAGGTGCCATTGATTGCACGCACATAAAAATTCAGTCTCCTGGTGGCGAAGATGCAGAAGTGTACAGGAACCGAAAAGGCTACTTTTCTTTTAATGTACAAGTTATTGTAAATGCAAATTTGGAAGCCATGGATATTGTGGCAAGGTGGCCAGGATCTGTTCACGATTCAACTATATTTAATAATAGTCGGATTAGAGCACGGTTAGAAAACGGAGATTTCCAAAATGGCATATTATTAGGTATGATGTTACTGATACTTAACGTAAAATAGTACATATTACTATTTGATTACAAATGATTAATGATAAGGTTCTTTTAGGCGACAGCGGATATCCTCTGCGAGAGTATTTTCTAACTCCATTGGCAGAGTGTAGAACAAGACCAGAAGAACTGTATAATGAAGCTCATATAAGAACCCGAAATACAGTGGAACGGTTCTTTGGAAATTGGAAACGTCGATTTCCTGTCCTTGCATATGGCCTACGTTTGAAAATTTCCACTGTGATGGAGGTTATTGTAGCAACGGCAGTTCTACAAAATATTACCAGAACAGTTATGGCCGAAGAAAATGTTGCTGTTTTGCCAGATGACATTAATGAAGCAGATTTAAATGTTCAAATTGAGGCTGGCCGTGTGGAGATGAATAATATCGGCAATAATGGGATACATTATTTAAGAGATAATTTAATAAATAACTACTTTAATGATTTATAAAACAATTTATTATAAAAATAACTATTTTTCATTACTTAACCTATCTAGTTTTTAACTGACATTAACTTGACAACACGAAAAACCCTAAAAAATTACTAAAATTTATAAAAATAACTAAATTTTATGGCGTTGTTGCCAAATAACCGATACTTAAACGTTACTTAGTTGAGCATTGTATATGTTGTGTCGGTGCAATAGACATAAAATTTAAGTTCTTCTTAACTATAAGAACTGCTTAACTAAGTTATGCTCAACTATGTAAACGGTGCAACCGGGCATAAGTATCTTTCATGAATATATTCGTCATCTGGGCACTTGAAAACATAAAAATTTGCAAAGATATCCTGCGTAATCATCCTGGGTATCGTGGATCTTGTAAAAATCGCAATCCAATTTTGGCAAGGCAATAGAAAATTTAGCAGTAATGGTTAAGATATGTAATTTAATGCCATTTCGAGATTTCCAATCAAAAATTTCATCTTGACTCATAGCAAACCACGCGAGATTCCATATCGACTTGATTTCCAAAAATAACAGTATTTGAGGCATAACATTTTTCAAAATTTATTAGAAAAGTTTGAAATGTACAATAAAAAGTAAAAAATCAAATTAAAAAATACGATTTCAAATAGTACTATTTCCATTACGTTACGTAAAGCTCGGCATAAAGCTCCGTTTCACTAAAGCCTGGCACTATGGGGTCAGATAGCATCGTGTCGGTGGCGGCAGCAGCAACGCCGGCGTTATGAAAACGTTACGTGTTAACGATCACCGGCGAACGAGGCGCGAAATAAGATGTTCTGTACGCCGGTTGATAATAACAATAACTTTCTGGATGAGGTAAATGCCAACCGCATACCTATACCTCCTTCAGTTGTGTACATATTTCGTAACATACATATATAACCTACATCTATGGTTATTAATGAACCTTTGAGACATCCCAAAATAAAATGGCATTTATTAATTGTTCTTAAATGAGCAATGAATACAATGAGGAATGTGGTTTTGATATGATATTATTTTCAAAAAATCATAACAAATTGGAAATTCAACAAATCATTATGCAATTATCAGCATTTATATCACAAATTGTAAGGTTTTCAAGAAAAGAAACTAGGTTTTAAAATATTTTTTAGTTTTTGAGATATTAATTTTTAAACATAGATAGATTAATGCTTATTTTTCGAATATACTAGAAAATTGTTAAAAATGTTTCTAATTTTTAAGTAATTAATATTTATTTGTATTAAATATAATATTTAATATATGAAGTGGTAAAAAATGTATTCATAGTATTATAAAGAAACACTGTGTTTCGTTTATATTTTCATGTAACACATCACCTGTTGTCTTGTTGCGCATGATACACGTATAGGAAAGTTAACGTTTTGGGTCATATTCATATCGGCTTGACTGTTGCTGGAGTATTAGGCCTCGATAAAGAACCTTAATAATTCATAAAAATTATATCGTTAAGCTCAATAGGATGTAATTTGCAGAATTACCTTCCAAATTAAAAATGTATGTGCTGCAGGCATATTTCATCGGGATTTCTGAGTTGTCTGACGGAAAAATTGCCTCCGGTCACAAGTTTTGAACGCATCCTACCCGACCCCAGGGTAGTTATTACTCCTGTCGTTTGTCATCCAAACTCGCTTTTCTAAAGTTTATTCTTTTTCAGAATTGAAAATGACCTGTTTCCGATATATTCTATACATGTTCACCCCGTGGTTTAAACTGCTTATAATTTATTCAAAACCCGAGAGCGGTTTCCGTCGCAATTGTTTGGCAAATCGCGTGTTTATCGATTTTGACCGTTTTCCCGTATTAATACAAAAATGTGTGACAGCAGAAGTAAAGAACCATTAATGCCAATATTGAACATGCGATCTTCGCTAATCAAACTAGGTCGAAAAAATAACGCGACATGTTATCTACATTATCGTGTAAATGCTGCAAATAAATAAATTCAGATCGTTACATGGAGAGAGATAAAAGTTGTTTTTAGAGTATCTCGAAAAATCCCAAGGTTTTCGTCTGATGATTAAAACGAATATAATCTCCAACACAATTGTAAACATATTTGTGTAGGTTAGTACCAAAATATAGAACAAAAAAATGAAACCATTGTTTTAAAGCCGAAAAAATCCAAAGATAGTAAATAGAGATTAAATGTCTTATCTCAGTATAAAAGAAAAACATATATCTTAGTATATAAAAATTGAATAAAAACGGTTACAAAATAAATAATATTTTAGATTTTTACTCCAAGTATCGTGTATATAAATTATGGGTAAATACTTAAAAACACGCGACATTGCGGAGGAATATTTGAAATCAGATAAAATTCGGCTGTATATTGGCCGTTACGGGGTCGAGTTTATTTTGAGGTTGCCCCCTCTTCATTGAGTGACTCAACAATGAACTTATTGAGGAAGGTCGGGTTCACAAACCGGACGTGTAACGGGCTACCGAATTTTAACGCGACGCTACGTCATCAACTTACAACAGCCGCTCCCAAAATGTTTTATATCTTCAAAGAATATTTCTTGTTTCTTTGATTAATCTTAAACATTATCTTCAACAATAATATTTTAAAACACCTAATAATTTATTTTATTATTATTATTTATGAATTGCAATTATAGTTGTGGTTAAGCAACTTTATTGAATCACTTTGGTATTGTTTGAAAATCACTGATATCGTTAAAATATGCGTGATGCCAAACAAATTTTGGGCAAGTAATTTAAATATTCACCACCTCTTTGTTTGCTACTTCTATTGTGACGTATACTCCGAACCGATTCGATTTTCCAATAAATGCAATAAAATTAAATTATTTGATATAAGATAAACGTTTATAAAATTGGGTTAGCAAAAGTGCATCGACTATTTTTAGTTTATTGGGCAATCCAATCGCTGCTTATCTAATCTAAATTGTTGTCTTCTAACCTTCCCTGACAGTTTATTTAACAAAGATTTTCTTTGAATTTGCTGTTATGGTTTTGGGTTGAATCAAGAAAAATTTGTTTATACCGGGAATTTCATATAACTCGCAATATATGAATGTGCATAGAGTTAGAAAATGTGCAGAAAGAATGAATGTGCATTTTATAGGTTCACGAACAAAATGTCAAACCCTCAAACCCTTAAACTTACCCGCGGTGAAATTCTTAGGTTTATCTCTTGATCCCAAGTTAACATGGAATCCACATATTGATGTCATAAGTAAAAAATTAACATCAGCAGTAGATGTCTCAGCAAAATTTCATCTCATGAAGTGGCGAAAATAGCCTATTTTCAAACCACCTCCATAAAGCTGTTGATGCAATTAAATGTGGTATGGGTGATACTTATTGCGCTTTAATATTCTTAAAATGCTGGTCTTCGATATTCCGGCGTCAATTGCAAGTTGTCCTCAAGTTAGCACTTGAGGATTTACCTCAACGCTAGCTAATACCGCAATTTCCTTTTCTTCCGTAGTTACAGTTGCTCGCAGAGTTCTTTTTCTTGGTTCCATACTTCTAGTGTTAGTGAAATCATTCACAACTCTGTAAAAGGTGCTTCTCGAAGGCTTACTTCGATCAGGAAAACGTTCTCGATACAAAGCTTATCAGCAACTTTTCTGCCACTTTCTCCATAAATAAAAATCATTTCGACTTTTTCTGCCACACTTAAAGTATCCATGATTTAATGACTTAGTTTAAACACTTTGCCTTAATGTATTCATATTCAATGAATATGTGAAATCAAGTATCGATGATCTCTTGCAAATTTATTCCACAAATGCGATGGTATATGAACCTATGTTGTTAAATAACAATGTTAGTGATATTTTTGAACTTAAGCCAATAACAACAGCCGAATTAAAAGAAATATTGAATGAGATAAAGGGTGGCAATTCTGAAGATAACATAAGTAAGCAGGTTATTCAAATCGGTGGTAATTTGATAATAAATCAACTTTTACTGATCGTGAACTCTTCTATAAGAGACTGTGTTTTTCCTAAGATCTGGAAGAAGACTACAATAGTTCCAGTAGCAAAAATTAAAAATTCGAGAAAATGCTAAAATCAAAGATCTGTCAATACACTTCTGTTATCAGCAAAATGATAGAAAAGTGGTCTATAAACAGTTGAAAGATTTTATTTCTCGCAATGAAGTGCTCTCTGACTATCAGTCGGGGTTCCGAAACGGCCATTCTTGTGAGACTGCATTACAACCAGTGATGGGCGCTGGATAAATACCCGGCGGGTAGGTATTTCTAAAATTTATACGGGTATTTACCCCGGCCCAGGGTAAATACCCAAACAGTGGGTATAAAAGTATACCCACTGTATACCAGTAAAAATATATCAGATTCCAAAAAAAATGAAGAGGAAGATGATGAGGACGTTGAAGACGAGGAATTGTCAACAATCAAAGACGTATTATCATTAGACGAATCTGTCGTAATNTTAATGACTTAGTTTAAACACTTTGCCTTAATGTATTCATATTCAATGAATATGTGAAATCAAGCATCGATGATCTCTTGCAAATTTATTCCACAAATGCGATGGTATATGAACCTATGTTGTTAAATAACAATGTTAGTGATATTTTTGAACTCAAGCCAATAAATACAGCAATACTGAATATGACATAAGTAAGCAGGTTATTCAAATCGGTGGTGATTTGATAATAAATCAACTTTTACTGATCGTGAAGTCTTCTATAAGAGACTGTGTTTTTCCTAAGATCTGGAAGAAGACTACAATAATTCCAGTACAATTCTGAGCTGTCAATACAATTCTGTTATCAGCTAAAATGATGGAAAAGTGGTCTATAAACAGTTGAAAGATTTTATTTCTCGCAATGAAGTGCTCTATCAATCGGGGTTCCGAGATGGCCATTCTTGTGAGACTGCATTACAACTGATTATATCTAAATGGAAATATGTTTTGGATACACGAAACAAGATTATATTTAGATTTCAAATGAGCCTTCGAAACGGTAGATAGAGAACGTTTGCTACATAAGCTACGATGTATTGGAGTTGGAAGTAGGACAATTATGTGGTTTAGAAGCTACCTTAACGATCGAGTTCAACAGGTAAAATTTGGGGATGTACTATCTACAGAAATAGGAACAACTTATGGAGTTCCACATCCGTTTAGGTTTAGCCATCTTAAGAGACGCTCGGCTAAACGGAATCTTTCTAGTTCTGGGCATACTGATAGTTTTAGTGCTAGTGTTAGTCTAGTATTATTTGTTTTCAGCACTAGATTATTGTATATTTTTATTGAGCTATAACGGACACTGCCTTTCCTGTATTTATCCGTTATATTGAGGTTTTACTGTAATGTCAAATTATGTCGACATGTTGCATTTTATATGGGACAGAGTACCTAAGTAGGTACGCCATGCTTCTATGGAAATATATTTTAGTATATTGCATCTTAAGTGAAATTTACTGTATACAGATTTTAAACTTATATTAATATACAGGGTAATTCAAATTCGACCCCCACAATTGGGATCTCAAAAACCATAAGAGAAATGGTTAAATGGGGGCAAAGTTGCGTTTCTTAGGCCCACTCTTACCACCTCCTGATAAATTTATCCGATAGATAAATCTAGTTCTTAGCCAATGAGAGCGCTTAAAACCACCGTAACCATGGCAACTATCCTCTAGATCAGCGGTTCTCAAACTTATATCCTTGCGTACCACTACATTACATTACATTACATAGAATACATATCGGGTAGGCGGACCAACCAACCTTGCACCGCGACCCTAAGGATCTATTGTACCCCGATAGATATCGTTATCAAATTTCACCGTGCAGTCGAATGCTCTTAACGAACAGGCAGGGCAGTGGCATAAAACATGCTCAACCGTCTCTGCTTCCTCCGCACATAGTCGGCATTCAACATCGTCGGCTAAACCCAACAAGTTGAGGTGTGCTTTTAATCGGCAGTGCCCAGTAAAAACATCCATTAGAACTTTTATGCTACTACGGGCAAGTCCTAAAATATTCCCGGGTTTGACAGTGGCGATGTTTATAAACACCTTAGCATGTCTCATTCCAGGAGAACTGGTCCACAGTAGGCGAAGTCTCTCTTCAGCCCACAGTCCAATCCTATATTTGGCCATCGCAAATGATACCCCAATTGCTGGTTCCGGTACCACAAACGCTTCAGCGCTGCCATCTCGTGCTAGCTTATCTGCCGCTTCATTGCCAGCAACCCCAGAGTGACCTGGGACCCAGATCAGAGAGACTCTGTTATCACAACTCAGTGTGTTTAATGTTCTCTTACAATCATTAACCAGAGCCGACACCGTTTTCACGGCTTGCAGCGCCTGGAGAGCGGCTTGACTGTCTGAGAAAATTCGTACTGTCATGTTCTTCACCGCTCTTTCAAGAAGGATTTTAGCACCCATGTCAATAGCAAATACTTCCGCCTGGAATACAGTACAGTACGTACCCAGGCTGTAGGCTTGCTTAATTCGAGGTGTCTGGCAGTATACTCCTGCTCCTACCCCTTCAGGCGTTTTTGATCCATCTGTGTACAAGCAAATGTCTGCCCGAACCAGAGAATTTTCATTTTCGATCCAGGACTGCCGCTCAGGCAGTACAATCTGGTATCGAGCATTAATCACTGATAGTGATACCGCCAAATCTGACGGCATTGATAGCACAGTATCAGTGCTTATAATGTCTTCCGCAGCCCATTGGTAGGACATGTCGGAACAGTTTTGAGCATATTGCTTAAATCTGTAAATAGTTGTTCTGGCCACTTTCTCTATATGCAAATGCAGAGGAGATAGGCCAAGCAGAACCTCCATTGCTAGAGTTGGCTGCGTACCACTAAGGCTATTTTAAAAATCAGGTAGTACCACTGAACAAAAAAAAAACAATAATGATAATGCAAATATAAACTGTTTTGCGTACCACTTGAGAACTTCTCGCGTACCATCAGTGGTACGCGTACCATAATTTGAGAACCACTGCTCTAGATAGTTTATCAGGAGGATGCTAAAAGTGGGCCTTAGAGGTCATAATTTTTCAACTAAGTTTTTGAATCTAGCCGTTTTAGTTTTTAAAGTATGATCGAAAAACAAAAAAAGGCTTTTTCGTTTTTTGCCTATAACTTTTCGTGAATCTGAAAAAACATTTATAAGGCAACTTTTTATGAAAAATGTCATGACACAACATAGAGTTATTCTTTGCTTCTTTGCTGTGACTCAAAAATCGATTTCTATGAGTTTTGTATATTGAAGGTGATTTAATTATATCAATCTTGTGTTAATAATTATGAATAGGAAAAAGTCGATTTTAACTACCCACAAAATCCATACAGAGAGGAAGTAAACGACGCGACCGTTGGCAATTGTAAATGAGCGCAGCACAACCGCCCCCACTTATTGCTCTTATTTGGACACATCAGTGGTCGCCGGGCGTAATGAATATTAATCAGAACACGGCCGCCAATTAATACGGATAATTAATTTAAGCATTTCCCAAAGAAACACGCCACGTGTTCGATTGCATTTACCGCGCGGTCTAAATTCGAATTTTGCGTTCGCCCGGATCCGAGCGCACTGCTCGTCCTCGACGGCAATTACGTTAAACGCCGTTCGCTGCGAATTATTTACGACCGCGTTAAACGTTAATATCGTTCAACAATTTACATTTTTACGTAGGTCTCTTCGTTTTGATCTCACGGCTTAATCTGAGCAGATAATGCGACCAACCATGAACCTGAAATATTTAAACGAGACTCAAACTGTGTGTGTGTCGAACAGTAATTAGATATTAAATTAATTTATCCATCCGCTTCATTAACTTTATGGTATATCGTGACTTTTGCCGGTAATACGGTTTGATTAATACAATATTTTAAATATTTTCAAGAGAGACGCCCAACAGACATCGTTGTTAAAGTAAAAATGGCTAACATCGCCTGTGGGCCAAGATCGAGCTCGAGCTCGTCCATCTTAATTTTGTTCGAAACGTGTTTCGGTCCAGGTCGGCCATGGCCGTTCATGGCCGCAGCGATTTTGCGGGCCCATGATCTTCGTTTTTCTTCTTTCCGTTTTATTTTTGACTCCGGGTCCGCGGAACGAAAACGCGAAATAAAAGGGGACCCCGAGAAGCCAGACGGGTATTATTTTCAGAACACACCGGCTGACCTTAATACTTCGGATATTTATTCGACGTCTCAATGTCGTGGCTATATATTTTTGGATTTTGCATTGTTTAAGAGATACTGATATTGAATACAAAAACCGGTGCATTAAGTTGTGTATGTAATGGATTTTTTATTTAATAATCTACTTTGAAAGCCGATATTTTCCATCAAACGTAAGAATTGTGCTTTGCACGAAACCGAATACCAGGTGCGTTGACGTCACCAGGAAAGCGGATTTCACAACAAAAGCAACATAGCGACCTGTTTTTCATTTTACCTTATCGAAACGACACAAAAAACACGGCAAAATAGCTGGGAAATCTCGCGCGATGATAACGAATTGCTTGGCATTGATTAGAGGTATGTTAAATTGTGGTTGAATCGTTGTGGAAAAATGCATGCATGGCAAAAATAGACCATTAAAGTGATACGTGATAGATTCTCTGGATTATTGTTGGCATTCTGCAACAATTCCAAACTGTTTTTAATTTTTAAATTTAAAATAAGGTTTTTTTTTAATGAATAAGATTATAAATGAATCAAATTAATTTCTTAAATAAGATTTATTATACCTTATTTTGCAAAATATTAATTCTCGTTTTTACTTTATCTACGTTATCAGCTTGCAGTGAAATGTGAATGACCTGACGCATATGACTCAGGGCCACACACATTCTGTTATAGTAGATTTCTCTGCATGACGTTTTCGGCGAGTTGAAAATAGCTCGGCCGTATTTTTCGCAATCTCCAGACAAGAGCAAACATCGACGGAAATAAATGGCCCGACGGGAGAGTGTCAAAACAATATTATTTAAGCCTGGTGTGTGGAAACGTTCGTCGAGTTTGGGGTTCAGAGGGGTCCCCCAACCCAGATTAGATAAAAAACGCGCCCGAACAACACTCGTCCAGTGCGATTTTTCTCTCGGCCGTCCGTTACGGTTTTATCGCAGTATCGATTTGGCCAACTGGTCTGATGGGTCGACGACCTCCCCTAATGCGTTTCAGCGTGTACTTATTCCGAAAGAATTGTAAATCACATTTGGCCGAAGGTTGGTTGGAAGGTGTTTTTCGCTATACTACGGTTTCGCGTGCGTTTTTCGCCCCTCCAGTGAGACGACATCAACCCCGTTTTCGTTTCGTTTCGTATTCGAACTGACGAGCTTCGGGGGCGTTAACGGGATTGTTTATTTTCCTTCGGTCGCTTACGCCAGCTATTGTAGTTTTTTTTTTTTTTGAACGGCCGTTGTGTCGCCTGCGGGTTGTTTTTCGATGTCTAGACGACCTATGCGAAGTTAGCCCCCAATTTTTCTAGCCCCCAATTATATAGGATTTTACATGTATAGTATTTTGATTATAACAAGAGAACCAGTCAACCGATTTCGATAAACAATCTCTCATTCGAAAGCTCAATCCTTGGCCAATACGAAAGTGGAAATGCCCGATTCGAAATCTCTCTCGAATTCCGCTAAAATGCCAAAATAATGCAAAGGTACACAAAAATGACCTTTTTTAAACCCGTGCGACGATAGCAACAAACCTCCCAGCAACAAACTTTTACCCGTAATTTCCTATCTACTTTCTTAACTGATATCTTCCTTATAATTAGGGATAGCGAAAAACTAAATGCACCACTTGAAAGCTTGAATCTTTCTCTATCTAAAACCGGGTTTTCGTCTGCCGATAAGTTGATATTAAGATCAATAAAAAATGAAGAACACCGCGCTGTACTTAAAATAGCTCAAAATTACCAAACTTCAAGGCCTTGTGCAATTGTTACGAAACCGACTTTTAAAAAACTGTTAGCACAGTCAGAAAGGGCGCTCCTTCAACTATCTTAATCCGGGTTTTCGTCGGTCAATATCTATCGGCGTCATGCTTAAATCGCTCTTTATGTCCATCCCTACACGCAGAAACGCTTAAATACTCTTCCTCTAAACAACTTTCTTATTTGATAGGGAGAAAACTATAGAAACATATCTATCTTATTGAAAATTTTCTGCTCTTTCTAGTGGTGTATAACACGCGGCGATCACGCGCTTGCACACGTACATTTTTGGCCAAAAATTGCTAAATTCACACGTTTTAGCCATTCTTAAACCTTGTTCGGGTCGATAACTTCTTATATGAGCAGGAGAAAACTCTAGAACCATATCTATCTTATCGGAAATTTCCTGCTCTTTCTAGTGATGTATAACACGCGACGATCACACGTTTGCACACGTACATTTTTGGCCAAAAACTGCCAAATTCACACGTTTTAGCCATTCTTAAACCCTGTTGGGGTCGATAACTTTCTTATATGAGCAGGAGAAAACTCTGGAACCATATCTATTTTATCGGAAATTTCCTGCTCTTTCTAGTGATGTATAACACGCGACGATCACGCGCTTGCACAAACACGTTTTGCGCCAAAAACGACTAACGTTGTGGATTTTTCTGTTCTAGTTAATTCCCATTTGTGACAGAGTCTGTCACGACGACCTGAGTGAAAATCATTATAAACGATTTATGGAAAAATCCCTGAAATCGGTCTAAAGATTTAACTTTTGTGCAATTTTTTTGTATAGATTTCAAAATTGTTCCCTCATTTTTAACCCTTTAACGGTTAGCGGCTTTTATAGAGACCACTTGTCAATAAGGTAAATTAGCACCTTGCCCCTGAAAACTTTATTTATATTTCAATATAAACAACAGAGTTATGGGTTGGGGCGCTTTTTGTGTGAAACTATATACAGCTAATAATATAAAATTTGAAAAAGAAGAGTAGAAAACTAGTAAGAACAACAATAAGTTATACTAAAGGTAGAAATACTAAATCCAAAAATGAAAAAAAGATTTTCTGTTTGAGTACAAATACATTTTAAATCAGTCTATTACTTTGTTCGTTTGTTTACATACTTTGTTATGATTAGTAGAATATTTCAAACATATTCACATTTAGTTGTTCTTTAGTAATAATCCGTTTACAAAAAATTATTTTTTATGTAAGTAAGACTTCCAGGCAGTAAAGCTGTGCAGTAAAGTCGCTGGAGTCGTTTAAACAATCGTACGTACTTAATTAGCAAATTTAGAGATCGGGCATTTCCATTTTCGCATTCACCATGGATCATACTTTGGATGGAGATGTTGACGACTAAAATTGATCAAATAATAAAGGAGATAATTGACTTATTTGATTAATTAATTTTTTGTGTTTTATTCAAAATTCTTAAATATTTCGAATCGGGCATTTTGACATATGCATTCAGCCAGACGTAAGCTTTCATTTGAGATATAAAACATTAAAATCCGTCAAACCATTCTTTAGTTATAGCGAATGTAATCAAAATTATTTTTTTCTTATTGGGGGCTAGACTTTCAGTCGGCAGATTCAGGGGGTCATTTCAATGGCTGTACGCAGGTAATTAGTAAATTTTGAAATCGGGCATTTCCACCTTCGCATTCATTGTAGATCATACTTTCGATCGAGATGTTTATGATTAAAATTGGTCAATTAGTTAAGGAGATAATTGATGTGTTTGATTAATTCGTTTTTTGTGTTTTAATCAAAATTCTTAAATACTTCGAATCGGGCATTTCGACAACTGCATTCAGCCAGGCGAAAGCTATCGATTGACATATAAAACATTAAAATCCGTCAAACCGTTCTCTTATTATAGTCGATTTAGTTAAAATTAATTTTTTTAAATTGGGGGCTAGACTTTAACGGTCGTTTATAAGTGCGTAAACAACGGGCCGAACACGGTGTCATTCCGTGGGCTGTACAAGGTTAACGGGAGAGAATTGGAATCGGGCATTTTGTGATTTCGATAGAAGAAACTATGACGAATCGAATGACGTATAGATCTTGATCATCGGGTACATCGTTTACGAGTTATCACCACTTAAAAAAGGTCATTTTTGTGTTATTTTCGTGTACCTTCGCATTATTTTAGCGTTTTAGCGGAATTCGAGAGAGATTTCGAATCGGGCATTGTTTATCGAAATCGGTTGACTGGTTCTCTTGTTATAATCAAAATACTATACATGTAAAATCTTATCTAATTGGGGGCTAACTTCGCATAGGTGTCTAGACGGTCGACGTTGCAATTTTACAGAAATATTGGGGGTATTATTAAGAGACAAATCATCAAAAATGTTTATCCAATAAAATTTTAATAAAAACAAAAACAACTTGCTTACAATGATTAATAATCACGTGGTTTAAACTCGTGATATTTCAGTAATATCACCCGCTGTTCAGCAAAGGCGTGTCTCCTCGAATGCTGCAACTCAACGTCGTCGCCGTCGTTGCTGTAGGTGTGACAATACCAACGACGAGAACGGGGCGGCATATGACTTTGATCGATGTCCGTCATTGAAAATTTGCTTTACTTACTAACCGAAAAAAGTGGCCACATAAAAACATACATATAGTTTTTAAAAAATTGAAATAGCTGCACGCGAACACTGCGCCTTGAGTTTTAATCCTTTTAATTTTTTTCACACGAGTTAATCCACACACATCTAAATATAGATCATAACAAATTACATCATACCTGAAAAATATCACAAAATCAATATGGAAATGAATTAATAAATAAATCAATCACTTCTAAGATTGTTTTGAGCGTAATTTAATCAACGTGTGACATGAATTTCAGTAAGCAGCGCGGTATTGGTGCGTTCGGAATTGTCATTACTCAAGATTAAACGTGATCGACGTTTAATTAAACGATTTATCCAATTATCCAGTACGCTCCTATTAATTAAAGAATTTCTTTTAAAAAGATGGATTCGTAAAAATGAAATGAAAGTTTGTGATTTACATCGAGTTACAACTGTTTAAAACAAAATCTCTGTTTTATCACGGCTTCTCCAACCCTCTCATTCGCATCTTTCCATTGGTTTTTGATTTTGTCGCAAGCTATGTTGCTAACCCTAAGTGCGGTAAATACATCGCAGTGTCTCAGGTGTAAGTGAGGCGAAGTCATTGATTCCCTGCTTTGGTTTAACTAAGATGTTACAGTCCAATTAGGTCTTCCAATCTTGTAGCACCTATGCGAAGTTAGCCCCCAATTAGAAGTATTGTAGTAACAATCGCTTCACTTTTCCTCTGAAGATGGACAACGGCAACTCAGAATAGGCTGGTGGCAATTTACTATATAATTTTATGCACATATAATTATGTGCATAAAATTGATGCGGTGCTGTGGAATGGCGATTCTGTTCTTCTGCCTAATGTCATGTTGGTGGATATCACTATGAGATGTATATCTCATTTTACTATTTCAGGTAGACGCTAGGGACAGTTAATATTTGCATCGCTTTAAATATGCTTCTGCAGCTATCTCGCGGTCCTGCACACGTCAAAGCTCTAAGGCAGCGATGCACAGACTTATTAAGACTAGGGGCCACTCGGGCAAATCATGAACTGATGGCGGGCCGCCAGAAGTATAGGTAATTAAAGACAATAAAGAATTGATAATAATGTATTAAAATTGAAAAAGAATTTATTAATTTGAAGCGTGGCACTGCATAGTGCTTACAATCATTTTTATATTTGGCTCAAATTTACTTGTAGCAACACATAAAACTGCTTCCAAACATTTGCAAGGCGGTTTCGATTTTTGTTTTATTATTATTTGTATTGAAAAAGTTTGTTCACATATATAGGTAGAACCAAATAAGCTGGCACATTTCAGAGCGTTTATGCGCAACTCTTTGTACGACTTAGCCACCTTACTTCTGTATAATACAGTAAATCTCCATATTCGCTTTCGATGTCATCAAGGAATTGTTTGAATTACCTGTCATTGAGTCCTCGTGATTTTATGAAATTTACAGTCGAAACTACCACTTTCATGACATTTTAAAATTCAATTTTTTTAGAACAGAGGGCTTCTTGGTGTATAATGCAGTGAAACTGTATGAGATCTTCAGCGTTTATGTTTTTTTTTTGCAGATGCTTTTTCAGCAAAGTAACTAGACCGGAATTGACACCAATCATCGAAGGAGCACCGTCAGTCGCAACTCTTGAGTTGATCATTGAGTATATCAACTCCTTTGGTTTGACCTTTCAATGAACACATTCGTAATAACTCTTCTAAGACTTCAAAATCTTGAGTAACACCTCGTATGAATATGAGAAGTTGAGCTGTGGAACTAATATCAGTGGATTCGTCGAGTGCTAATGAAGAAAATTCAATGATCTTAGTTTTTTCAGTTAATTGTTCCGCAATATTACCTGACAAAGACATAATTCGTCTTTGGATACGATTCAGTTGAATTTTCTCAAACTTTTTTGCTGCTTCTGGACACATTTTCTTAGCGGCAATTTCTATACATTCTTTTACAAAATCCCCATCATTGAAGGGGCGACTTCGCTTTGCTATCATTCGAGAAATTTCATAACTAACTTCTGTAGCTGTTTCTGAATCTTAAATGGGTTTTATAAACATAGCTTGCTGACCAATAAGCTCCCGTTTTAAAGACAACATTTTTTGCTTTCTTAAGTCGCCTGTAAACTTGATAAAAGTAGGATGCTGCGTTTCATAGTGCCTTTTTACATTATATTCCTTTGCAATCGCAACAGAATTCTTGCAAATTAAACAAACGACTTTGTTATGCGATCATACGAAAAAGTATTTCTCAGTCCAAATTTCTTGAAACTGCCGATTTTCATCTTTAACCTTACGTTTTTTACTAGGTCCTGGCTTGTCCATGTTGTGTTCTAATCCTGGCTAGGATTAACACAGCACCTGAAAACAATTACAGTACCTACATAAATTACCCATTCTTGGCGCGGTATTTGAATGAGTTTCATAAGTTTTATGGACGTCGCTCACAATATCAAAAGAAACAAAGTACTTTAATATTTATTATTTTTCGAATGTACGAGAATATTATTTTTGCTGTCGGCGGGCCACCAGTATTCGACCAGCGGGCCGCGGTCTGTGCATCCTTTTGCTGGATTAAGAGCTTGGAAATTTGAGACGATGATCATCACAACTCGATGCTTCAAGGCGTAGTAGATGAGAAGAATTTCATTAAGGGCATCAATTACTACCTCTTAACACATTATTCAGTATTTGAAAGCATTTTATGGATGGAACATAAACAGTATCGGCACTAGATCCAGATTTCATAGAATCCTTAATATATTTTTTTGTTCCTGTGAATATGTCGATCTAATATTTTCATAAGCTTCAATCTTCATAAACTTGTTGTTTTGATAACCTGTCTTTATAAGTAACACTTTTAATTTGCCATAAACATTCATGTTTGACATTGGCAGTTGTAAATAGTGGGGGTACGCTACTCGACCGAAAAAATAGAATCGAATGGATCTACTCAACTAAATCGTTTTACTAAACTACTCGACTAAATTGTAATGTCCGCTCGTAGCGAGTTACTAAATTGCTCGCTACTCGACTAAATTACTAAAGGTGTCTGTACGAACCTTAAGTCTGGTTTAAAGGTACGTTTTCCTCCATGGTCGCCAGTCGTAGACGACTGCGACTAAGTAGCGGCGACTATTTCGCAAGTACACATGCAACGTATTTTAAATCTGTATGTTTTCCTCACGACGACTTAGGCGCCCTTCGCCTGGCGACTAGTAGCCTGTCTGCTTTGGGAGCATACAAGCGAATTGGTCGCTTGCGAATTTAGGTAGACTCTATAAAACAGTTAGTTAATTAACGAATAGTACAAGATAATAGGCTATTGTTAAACTTTGCTTTCTTGCCAGATTACGGCACCTTCGCTTGCAAAATAATCTGCAAATCTGCTACGTACTTGAAAACCTTCGGCGCAAGCAAATCCTCCTGTTCCTTTGAGAGGAATCATATTTTCAGTAGGAAGTGGAAAAAGGTTTTCCTCTAAATTCATTTGTCTAGGATTGTTAAGTGTACATTCGTTACGCAACATATTATGTATACAACAGCAAGCAAGAATAATTAGATCAGCAGTGCTAGATTTTACATTAATAGGAGAAAAAAAAATTCGAAATACATGGCAAAGTATACCAAAAGCGTTTTCTGTTACTCTTCTAGCTCGAGACAGTCTGCAATTAAAAACTGCTTTCTTTTTGTCCTCTAAAACTTGATTTTTTGGGTAAGGTTTCATGACATATTTGTCAAGTTTAAACGCATCATCTCCAACAATAACATGCGGTAAAATCACATTTTTTGAACGGGGAAGTAATGCAGGTGGAGGGAAATTGAATTTTTCACCGTAAATTTGTTGTCCAATTTCAGATTTTGACAAAATTCCTGCATCGCCCTCTTTCCCATAGGATCCAATGTCCACATACAGAAATTTGTAATTAGCATCAACAAGAGCTAACAGCACTATTGAAAAATAATTTTTATAGTTAAAAAATAGTGAGCCGGCCTCTTATCTGGACACATAATTCGTATGTGTTTTCCGTCGATGGCTGTGATAACGTTAGGAAAATTCCAACGATTCCAAAATTCTTCAGGCTTTCCTTTTAAATCAAGTTCTGAAGGATGTGGTAGTAGAATTGGCATTAGTTTTTTACACAAACTTTGTAGGACAATTGGTACAAACACGCTGATGTAGCTGTAGGAGATTCGAAACGCAAATGATATAGATCTGTAAGACTCCCCTGTTGCAAGAAACCTGCAAAAAAACAGAATTCTTAAATAATATGACGTATAAAATTTTAAGTATTAACATTTCTTTTAAGTTGCGTCTTGCAAAAAAAGGTGGAAGAACATTCGGGACAATTATTACAAACAAAAAAAGAACACCCAAATGCCAACAGGAAGTGCCTCAAAAAACCGGAAAAGAAATCCAATTTTGGAGCAGTTAGGGTTTTTAGATGTTGTTGAACATAAAAGAAGGTAAGCATGACATAACCGGTTAAAAAAAATAAATACATTTATGTATCTTTACTATTGCAGCGTGCTGACAAATATGCAAGTTGATAATATACAATCGGTTGCTAGGGAAGCGAACACTGAAATTAACGCAGAAGAATCTGACGAAAGTATACAGGAGGAAATACCGCTTGAAGTGCCAACATGCAGCGCGTCGTAAAGAAAGCCAAATTTTGCAAATGAAATTTTGGCTGCAGTAAAGAAAAATCGGTTGGAAAGAGAAGTTATAATAAGTCAACTAAATTCGGCACAAACTGTGTCAACTGAAGACGAAACAGACATGTTTTTCCAAAGTCTTGCGATGACTGTAAAAAAATTTCCACCCCTATTAAAGGCACAGACCAAAAGAAAAATTTTTACTGTTATATCAGAAGTTGAAGTGGAAGCATTGCTCCCACAAGCAGCACAACCTTCTCGGCTGTATTCATACGAAACCAGCTGTACTAGCTCACCCTCTCCTTCAAGCTGGGAACAAAGAAATTATCATGTGGGCGAATCCAATGACCAGCAAGATTGCTCTAATGCAGCACATTTTTTTAATTGACTTACTGAATAAAACAATAGCTTTAATAATGTTGCATTTTTACTTACAATATAGTAAATATAGTAAAAATAAAGGAAATTTGCTTACCTTAACGTTATTGCCAATTTTTCTCCTGGTGTTATTGGGTCCTTCACACGGTTGTAGGGTTTTGTTACAAGATCATCTTGGATGAGTTCCAATATATAATTAAATTGATGTCGTGTGATTCGAAAAAACTCTTTAAATCTGGTTTCATTATCTTTTAAATACTGGTTTACCAATATTGATTGAAATCCTTCCAATTTTCTCCGCTGAAACATGGATGATATTTTTTTCCTTTTTTCTTCACTTTCCGAAACTAAAGAAAAAAGTAAATTTTCCTCTTCTTCTTGATAATTTAATAACATTAAAATCAAATTTCTTTGTCGTACTTTGTTCATCTTTATACGTTTTGTCTCGAGTCTAAGAAAATACACAATATACACTGTATACTTGCGAACTAAACGTCGACGACTGACGACCATGGAGGAAAACGTACTTAATAAAAAATTCGTCAGCGAATCAGTCGTCGCTACTCAGTCGCAGTCGTCGGCGACCGGCGACCATGGAGGAAAACGTACCTTAACGAAGACATTATAGTCGAATCAGGAATATACGTTCTTTCCTGATTACGCTGAGGTCGCTTGTTGCCAAAACTCTATGATTAGTATTATGTACATATTGCCTCGGCCGCAAGCGACTTCGGCTTTGCTTATAATGAGAATCATATACTATTAATAAGTATACAAGATATACCTAGGTATGATACAATGCTTTTATTACATAATTTTCGAACAGACAACCTTGATTCCTCAAGCTTATCCGTTGCTACGTAGTCCTTATTAGCCACAACATTTTACAGCGAAGACTTACCAAAGTCCATATTGCAAGAGAATTTGACACAGCGAAGTTTGGGTGATTAATTCAGTTATGAATAGTAGGACAGAAATTACTTAATAATAATCTTAGAGAGAGTTTAAACACTTAATTTATTTAAATGAATCCGAAACTCATTAAATTAAATCCGTTATGTCCGGCAATCAAAATCGTTTGGTTTTATTTCGATTGTTAGACTGTGTTAATTAGCCTCATAAATAAAATACTACTAATAAAATACAAAAAATTGTAATATCTAACTTGTAATAACTTCAAGACATTTAGGTTATTCAAGTATTTAGTATCTTTTTAATTCTTTTTAAAGGAGAGGTAGTTGAAAGTATATAAAAGAGACGAGAGCTTCCCTCTTTTCTATTACAAGACAGAATGGATGGCGATACGAATGTGGAAGCCAAAATATGCTGTCCTTTGTGATGTAACTGTCCATGCAGTACAAAGGAAATGTAGTCCAACAACTTGCCTACTTTTCTTCGGCCAAACAAAAATGTCGTTTTAGAATTTTATGTGAACGAAAATTTATAAAATAAATAGGTAAAAATATCTTACGGTTTATAAACCGTATTTGATCTTATAAACAGATATTCATAATAGTGTTGTGTATACACGTGTAGAGAGAGAGGAGATGATACCAAAGCCGCATGTGTCCGAGTTAATTACTCACGACATTAACATCACAGTGTCAAACGCAAATTTTGCATATCTGCAGGCCAAACAGCTTGATTGGACTATACAACAAATGTACTCCTATTAGAAAATTCCGCAATATCGAATTTCGTATCGGTTGTAATCAATACTACAATCACATAGCAGCAAATCCATTATCTGGGTGTTTTCTGACTGGCGCATTATTGTTTGTTCTATTTGCCGTTTCAGATGGGTAAAATATAAGGGATTGGAAAAACTCAACTTTTTCTTTCTACGATAGTGCAAGTTCGCACCGGACCACGCCGTGTTTGGCTGTTATCTTTCGTAGGATGGCGACGGCAACAACCTTGTTATCGTTTTGAACCCGAATGTCGTTGAACTAGATTTCAACATTTTTCCAAGATTTATTTGTTAAGACGTCGAGTGTATTTACTTCAAAATCAATAATTGTTACGTTATAACAACGCAGACTCTCAATTGCAACACACAATAATTTTATTATAACTTTTGTAGTTATGTAAAAATGTTATAGAAAATGAGAAATGCAAATTAAAAACATAAAAATAATATTTTTCGTTTTATTTCATGGATTATTTGGGGCATTCCGAAACCATGTTGCATTTAAATATGCAAAAATAAAATTTAAAACGCTTTAATACGCGTACAGAGATACCGTGTGGGCCAATCATGTTTCATTGCAAAACAAAAAAATTCTAGAGGCCTTGGTCCCTGTAGAAAATTGTTTACGTTGTTTTGCGCCCAGCAGGTTGGAAAATTCTGCTTCGGCCGACCGGAGCATTGTAATAACTAATTCCGAATGCAAATTCCTGAAAATATGCGCTCTCGATTAACATTGAACGCGCTCGCGATCTAAATCGCGATCACTTTCAATTGCAAATAGTTTTTTTTTTGTTGTTATTTTCCCGGGACGTTCTGGAACGCGACGATTACTTATTGGCCGAACGATCCTAATAATTACAATTTAAGAAAGTCCTGGATACAAAAGAGCGACAGATCAAACATAAATTACCATTAACGAGGCCGCCCGCTCTGTTTTTTTTAACTTCTAGTTCTTGCATTTATACTTTTAAGGTGTGAACTGTAGGAGAGGTTTGCGCGGTTACGTAAAACTGTAACGGAAGAAATTCCAAGGTGATGATGTTTTCAGTGGATTTATCTCGCAACGATTCAACAGCACAAGATTCAAACGACAAGACAATTGGAAAAACTCTTGAAAGCGCGACATAAAATCGATTGCTAGCCGACAAAAGCACGTATCAATAATACGCACATGCACAATGGAATTTTATAGAGATCCTATATCGGAGAGTCTCGAATGTGTGTCTCAATCGAAACGATTTAACGACAGCCCAAGAGCAAATAAGTGGAACCCAAAGAAATTTCGCAACCCGAATAACAACGAACCATAAATCTCACCGGTCACGATCTCAGAAGGTTTAAGATAAAATTTATTAATATGAAATGTATGAGATCCGAAGCTCCCACACAACTGTTGGGCTCAATCGCTTTGACCACATTTTGCAAACCCACTAAACTCATTTGAATATGTACTAAGAATATAGTGTAATAATGAAAATTAACGACGAAGAGAAACTAAAATATTACATGGGAGTTTATAATTACGAAAGAGAACTTTCACTAAAATTTTTATTTAGATATTTGGAACTTTTTATATTTAATTGGCGGTTAAGATGGTTTATACAGAGTTTGCAGAGAATACACTGTGTGAGGGCAACTTTAACAATTTCATATCATTTTGATAGACGGCCGCAATTACGTTAGCGTTTTAAACAATGGCTCAATTTAAATGGAAAGGTTAGAATATTGCGCAAGACTATTTGTCGGCGGTCAGGAGACGCTTCTGGCCATCGCTCATCGAAACGCGCCAGCATTGCGCCATCTCGCTTCCAACACCGTTTTTAACATGGAGCGAGCTTAGAGCGCAGCTGACCGATAAAATTCGAATGACCGTAAAATCGGGATGTGCACGCGCTTCTATAATTCACCGTCAGTCATTACGCTATTCCATGACCCACTCGCGAATCCGACATGCGAAGTTCGCGGCTAAATGCGTTATTAAGTACGTTAACGTAATATCCATGCCAAAGGCTTTTTTTTTAGATTTTTCTACAACAAACCCCTTTTTGCAATTACCATATTAGTGGTAAAGAGTAAAAAAAATTTTATTTAAAGTAAGTTACAACACCGAAAACGAAAATTTATTAAGTTAATTTAGTTAGTAGGTTAAGGCGTCGTAATAAGATTACCGGTTTTTGCGTTCCAGCTATTCCAACAGACGACGACGTCCTCCCGAGCAATTTTCCTCGTTTACAAGCAAAATTAGCGACCAATTTGTTGGGCACTAATGAGCATAATTTGTAACTTGATTAGTAGGAGGAGTATCAATGAAAATGCATCCACGTTACCGGAGCAGGGATTTATTCATCTTGACTAATAACGTAATAACGAACCAGTAAAAGGCGCATTTTAAACAACAAAATGTATTAAAACACCATATTGTAAAGTAGATGTAAAAATACACATTCCTTTGTGAAGCGTACATATTTCACGTTTCAAAACTTGTTTCGTAATGGCGAATTTATGTCGTGAAATCGGTAGAACGTTTTATGTTATTATAAAAAGACTTCCAGAAAATTATAGATATTCAAAAAAAATTACTACAACCCAACAGTTATCTTTTATGGCACACTAAATATTCATTAAATTAGCTTTAAATTGCATTTTATTTCATGGTTATATCTCAATTCGTTCTTGAGATACAATTTGTTAATTTTAATTCTTCAAATCTATAATAATCAAACATACAGCCTTGGGTTAAAAAAGTCGTAACAATGGTGTTTATGGTAAATAAGAAATCATTTATGGCACACCAAAAATTCATTAAATTAGCTTTAAAATGCATTTTATTTCATGGTTATATCTCAATTCGTTCTTGAGATACAATTTTTAATTCTTCAAATTTATAATAATCAAATATACTACAGCCTTGGGTTGAAAAAATCGTAACATTGGTGTTTATGGTAAATAAGAAATCATTTATGGCACACCAAAAATTTATTAAATTAGCTTTAAAATGCATTTTATTTTATGGTTATATCTCAATTCATTCTTGAGATACAATTTTTAATTCTTCAAATCTATAATAATCAAACATACAGCCTTGGGTTAAAAAAGTCGTAACAATGGTGTTTATGGTAAATAGGAAATCATTTATGGCACACTAAAAATTTATTAAATTAGCTTTAAATTGCATTTTATTTCATGGTTATATCTCTATTCGTTCTTGAGATACAACTTTTTATTGTTCAAATCTATAATAATCAAATATACAACCTTGGGTTAAAAAAATCGTAACAATGGTGTTTATGGTAAATAAGAAATCATTTATGGTACACTAAAAATTTATTAAATTAGCTTTAAATTGCATTTTATTTCATGGTTATATCTCAATTCGTTCTTGAGATGCAACTTTTAATTCTTTAAATCTATAATAATCAAATATACAACCTTGGGTTGAAAAAATCGTAACATTGGTGTTTATGGTAAATAAGAAATCATTTATGGCACACCTAAACTTTATTAAATTAGCTTTAAATTGCATTTTATTTCATGGTTATATCTCAATTCGTTCTTGAGATACAACTTTTTATTGTTCAAATCTATAATAATTAAATATGCAACCTTGGGTTGAAAAAATCGTAACAATGGTGCTTATGGTAAATAAGAAATCATTTATGGCACACCAAAAATTTATTAAATTAGCTTTAAATTGCATTTTATTTCATGGTTATATCTCAATCCGTTCTTGAGATACAATTTTTAATTTTAATTCTTCAAATCTATAATAATCAAATATGCAGCCTTGGGTTGAAAAAATCGTAACAATGGTGTTTATGGTAAATAAAAAATCATTTATGGCACACCAAAAAATTATTAAATTAGCTTTAAATTGC